TTAATACAGAATTTAACTAGAGATAAATTATAATCACATTATCAAGAGTTCAATTTGATAAGTTGTAAAATAATTTTGATGTCTAATCTCAAAATTGAGCCAGAGATAAATAAAATCATTAGAAAGGAATTGCTTTTAGGCCTTAGTATAATTAAATTAAATTAAATATCTATTAATGTGAGGTATATTGAGAGATAAATAAATAAATCTTTTGCAATAATTATCCAAAATTTTGCATATAATTTCACCCTGACATAGATTTACAGTAGCAGATTTTCAAACTTTGTTTTTTCTTCTAATTGCTTTTGCATGTAAAAAAAAACAAATTGATTTATCTTCATTTAAGGCAATTGAACAATTTGTATTTTATAACATAATTTTCATCTAACAATTAAACAATTATTATTAAATTGCAAATTAAGGAGCAGTTCCCTAAAATTTTAATTATGTTTTTAAATTAAAACCCGAGATCAAATATTGACTCCAAATGATGCTAAATATTCACATCTGCAGAAAGAAAATGATCAAATTATTTACTTATTTATACTTTTTTTATTTTTTTATTCGTCTCAAAAGGAAGCCGGAATTATTTGACGATAGGAACGGAGACGGTGAGAGGAAACGTAATTTAAAAGTATGCTAAAAAGGAAAAAGTAGATTGAAGAGAAATAAATTTGTATAATCAAATAATGTGGGACATTTGTTTCAAGTAGACCTAATTTGTCGTTTTTATCCTGATTTGCCGGACTGGTAAACTTTAACCGACCGTAACAAACAGTTTAATTTAAGTAATAAACCTTCCGTTAAATTGTTCTTAAGTAAATAAATGAATCTGCCCTATTTTTGTTCGGACGGTCTTTGTATTAATTACGTCTTATGAAATTTTAAGATGGAACTTTTCTTTCTCTGTAAAATTTAGTTTCGATCTTAACGCAAAAAGAAATTTTATTATAAAATAGTCTTTTGGTCGTTCTAAATTATTTTTATTGATTTTTAATTTAAATTGTTATGGCAATTTAATTTCTGTTGTTGTTTTCCTCATTTCAGTTATGAATGATACATCTGAAGTCGGTATTTTATCCAGTGATTCCAGCGAGTCAAGTAGCAGTGGCAGTTCCAGCAGCTCGGATTCCAGTGATTCTGAAGCTGAAAATGACCGTGAACAGAAATCTCATAGTTTAGGTGAGTTGTCAAACAAAAGGGCATTTCTTTAGATGCAGTAACACATACAGAGGGTCCTCATCGAAAATTATTGATTAATTAGGGCAATAAACTAGATATAAATCAAATGTTTTTGCACGGAAACATATGATTATATTTCTTAAAATCCAGACCAAGTAAAAAGTTTGAATCTTCCAAATAATACATCAGTTTATTCGGGAATCAATGCCTGATATACATTGTTTTAACATGAGTCATGTTATTAGGACTATAATTACAATGTATATTGAGAACCCCCCCTTCTAAATATAAAATATTGTTCACCCTCAAAATTTTAAGCATATATACTTCCACAGTATTTGTCTAGATCACTTATTTATTATTATATATTGTTAAACATAAATGCAGGCATAAACCCTGTAAGCCAATCCGAATCGATTCATTAGATAAACGAAGGTTGTTGGATGATGTAATTTTAATCTGTACCATAATTATCGTATTTGTTGCAAAAAATAATAAACATATAAATATACTAATATTTATTTTTCACATAATACCCATAAACATTGACATTTATACTAGCATTCCAGAAGTTTAAACATCCCTTTTGAGTATCATGAAGTGCTGCACAACTGCAGTTTGCAATGGAAAGAATTGTTATAGAAGACGAAACTCTGGTTTTTAATTTCACCCTGAAGTCAAAAAAACTCTTTAACATGGAAATATCTCAATCGTCACCTGCCCAAAACAAAAAAAGGTTGGCCATGTGCAAGATAAACAATGACAACAGCAAAGGTCTCCTCCTGTATGAATTTCTCTTCACAGCATCAGTTACTGAAAAACTCTCGACATACTACGTGATGCCATTAAACAAAAGCACAGTTACATGCCAGTAGGGGGCTTTACCGTGATAGGGGCATGACCTACTGTCACCACACAGTCCTGATCTAGCTCACATAAAAGAATAGACATTAGTGTTGAGCATTTATAACAATAAATATGAAAGATTTTACTTGTTGGGTTGGACATAAATACTCAAATTTTGGAAAGTGATAAAGCTCACTAAGCAAGCCAATTAAACAAATATTTCTGATAACTAAACTAATGTTAATATAATTTAAAGATTAACAAAACATTAACAATAAATAGTGTTAAAATATTAATTACCATTGCTATCTTTTGATATTTAGGTCATACCATTAATGGTGGCGATGGAACTCCAAATAGCCAGTCATCAATCTTTTCCAGTATGCCTAAATTCAGCCAATTGAGTAAGTTAACAAAGATTTTTATTTATTTTTTCTGGACTAAAATATATGAATTAATCTTACTGTTTATATTATTTTCCTACCAGGTGAAGATTTGCAACTGAGTGAATCCGGAAGCGAAAGCGATTAAAGAACAAAAAATAAATAAACTCAATTCCAAACACATAAATAACAAACTGGGATGTTCCAACGGTTACGTGAAAGTTGCCACTTGAACGATATATCTGTGATATCTCTACAGAATCCGTAAATAGTATCAACTCTTCTCTTCCCCCACAAAATTAACGTACCCAAGAAGGAATGACTCGGCTCGCTCGGTAATTTATCAAAATTATTAATGGATTTTGCTCACGTTGATTCCGGTCTTCCTTCCCGCTCGTAAACGCAACTCTGCGCCCATATTTTTCCAGTCGGCATACCCAAATGCTATTTTTAAAATTTTGTGATAAAAAAAAAAAAAACATTCTTAGATCTTTATCTATTTCCGGAAAGCGGATTTACAAATGTGAAATTCCGACTGTGATTCATGGAGACGATATCACAAGTATTATGAATCTTTATCGATATTCCAAAGAGGGCTCCGTATTATTTGCCCTGGTTTCAGATTTTTTTTTTTCTCGTATACACAAAAATAAATAAATATAGCACATTTTATGGTGTTGGGTGTAAAGAAAATTAAAGTCTTTATAATTGTATAGATTGTCGACAGCAAAAGAAAAAAGATGTTAAAAAAAAAAATGAATTCTCTGTGTTATTTGAAATATTTCATATATTTAATTAATGCAAAATAATAAAATGTTTCAATGAGCATTAGCCCTTGTCTCCTTTGCAGATTATATTTACGCAAAACTTACTCTCTCTCAAACATTTATAAACAACTGAATTCCAAGTATCGTTCCTCAAGTTAAGGTTGTACTATAACAAGGTTCACACATCAACAATCCCAATTCTTGGTGTGATTCACTCGTACATTATTAATATAATGCACACCATAGCCATACATCTACCATTACTGTTTAAATTCCTTATATTGCTTATTCACAATCTACAAAAAGCTATATTATAATGTCACAAAACTGCTAAAGTGGTTTGGCATTAAAATGATCTCAATTTTTAATTCAAGACAAGAATCCTAAGCACTTCTTTCTCAAAACATCAGGATATTTTGCTACATTTTTGTGGAAAGTTATCTTTACGGCAGAAGAAATCTCCAAAAAATCATCAACTTTTGGAGATCACGACCTACAATATCCAGTACGTAACACAATATTCCTAATATAAAAGCCGCCGCGTGTGAGAATTCCTTATAACTCCTGCAATTTCTGTCCAATGCAGACAAAATTTTGGTTATATTTGTTTTACATTTTGACAGAAAGTATAGTTTACTTATTTTGTGGAAATAGCTACAGAATAAACATTTTATCGATTTTGGATCGGTGATCGCACTTACATTGCAGTGACCACGACATTCACGCTCGACAAGGGAATTCCCCTTAAGTTGCATTTTTATTAAATTTTATGACTTATTTTAAGCATATTTCATTAAATTTTAACTTAAAGATAGCTGCATCATGTCACTTCTATAACAAATTTTTAAAAAATCTTTCCGTAGTGACCACGTCATTCTATTATGCAGTCGAAAGTAACGATCTAATGAGCCCATTATTTAGTGTGTTATCGCTCATCTAACTAAGGAGCATACAATTTATCTTTGTTTTATCAATGTGGAATTAAGAACTGGCTTTATCGAGGGCTGCAGAAACAGCGTCACGTCAGTCATCAAAACAATAGTAAAGTGTCTATAACAAAAGAAGATAGCAAGGAAATCTTTTAAAACACAATATACATTAAATTTTGAGTAAACACACTAAAGTAATTTTATAAAGAAAGATTTTAATATTATTTTAAAGGCCTAAATCTGTTTGTGTGTAAGTGAATTCTCTCTTAGCTCCTAATTTTTTTGTCCACTTCATGTGAAAGTTTGTTTTGTTGTTGCTCTTTATGTTACATAATATAATATTTCTGCAAATTAAGTATTTATACTAACAACTCTTGAATTTCTAATATATAATATCATCAATATACAATAATATTCAACACTTGTGTACACACAATGCCCTATAAAGCTCTCTCTTTGACACTTTTGAACAAGTCTAATTCCTGGTCACGTCTACAATACATCCTTCATCCCCACTTGATTGTAATTATTATTTTATATTAGATAAACAGTCAATATACTGTACTGTATATTGACTGTTGCATACCTTTGTGTGTTATAAAGGTATACAGCACATATTGCATACCTTTATAAGACATCTTTACTCAATTTATACCTAAGAACGAAAGACAGAAGAGTTTGTTTGATAATTTAATAAAGCCCTCTGTGTGTTTGTTCTATAAATTCAAACTGAAGGAACAAGACTTCCCAGTAATTGCATCCTTGTTCTTGAAAAACTAAGTTCCTGTCATTACAGTAAGCCTATTAACCTTACTTTTTATACCTTAACGGGGGTGTTATAACACTTGATTATAATACGGCGTTTACCGTGTGAATTTTGTAGACGTTGGGGTGAATTGTACCATTTTCTAACATCCGTCACGTTAGCTCCATTAGCGTAACGACAGATCGATAAATTAAACGTGACGAATGACGACCTTAATCAGTCTCTGTAATTGTCCATCTTAATTACTTCCTCTTCACAATATTACACGGGAAGATGGCGGTGTGGGAGTCTTTAAGTGTCGACTAGTCACTTAGATACAGAGGAGGGTGTTTTGGTGTCATTCGATCTTCTTAAAAGCGTCTAAAAATTTAAATTGCGTAGGTGATGTGGGTCGCCCGTTTACTTCGGTGTCAGTAACAAAACTCGTGTTTCTTTAGCATTAAACGCGTCCCGATAAAACGGAAACGTCATGTATTCCGCTACGTTACGTGTTACGATACGCTTTATTCGAGAATAAACACGTGTTAAATTACTCTCTAGTGTTGTACTCGTGAATGACACTAGTGTACATCCGTGACACATTTTTTTTTTTTTGCTTAACAAGAGACTACTGTGGAGAAATCCGTCACCTTTTTGTGACGATACAAACCCGGAAACGGAAGTTTTTACTCCGAAGCGATGCTACTCCGCACTACTCGTTGGAACGAGGATGTACGACGGAAGTGACACTTTATCCACATCCGAAAGACTTCACTAATTACTCTCGTAACGAGTCGAGTGGTCAAACATAACTCTTTATTTTTAATGCTTCTATAAACGTAACTAAGATTTATTTATACCGCTGTTAAAGGAGATACTCTAATACCTAGCGACTTCTAACCAAAATGTACACTTTGGAAGCAGCTTCATTGTAACTTTATTCAATTGTTTTTAGTGTATTTCCCTTATTTTTCTATATTATTATATTGTTTTCGTGAAGCTTCACCCACTGCACCAAAACGTTTGACTAATTCCAGCATCTTCACCCACGTTTTCTGTACTACTGACACGGTTTTACTCAAGCGTAACGCGTTTCAGAGGCGCAATCTACTAATTTTACTAGAATATTCACCAACACTACCATTAAACCATTGCGAAAGGTGATACTTTTCCCCCCTTTTTTTACACGAAGATTTAAATTCTATCGACTAACGTTTCACAATTTTAAATCTGCATCTTTTGAATTATAATTTAAAAAAACAACGCATATTTTTGCTGAAGTGTTACGCGACACGCGTCACTCCAAACATATTGTTAACAGATTGACAAGATAAACATGTTGCAGAGCAATGACAGATGTCAACCTCTCTGACACATGCTTTCTAGCCAAACCACTTGGATAATGAAGTGCAGAAAGTGTTTCTGCAGCATTTAAAAGTAACAAAAACTGCATTTTACACTATAAAGAACATTTTGTGTGTTAAATTTCTAAAAAGAAATCAAGTTTTGGCATACCAGCTTAACAAAAAAGTGTCTTTTGTAAATATGTAATTTGTAATTGTAATGTAAATTTGTATTTTGCAATATGTAAACTTTAAAATGTGGAAATTAACATGCAGATTCTCTAGCGGAGAGTGCCGAATCGCAGATTCCAAAGCGTTATCTTTACTCGGCCACTCGCACGCACACAAATACCGCAAACTTCTGAACAAAAACTTTGCCAAATTTTATTATACAAACTTTACAACTGTACAATTTATCCTCTCGAAATTTACAGTCCTTTATCCGTTTCCTCACGAAGATAAAAATTTAGAAATCTGTATGTAAACTTTGGCAACTTTGACAATTTGTCGCTCTCGGGATCACAGACGAGTTTTGAGATTCGACATTAAGGCGACGATAAAATCTGTCGAAGATCTTAAGTAGTGTCTTGCATAAAATTTGTCGTCTTGCTCTCGGATAAAATGCAACGATTCCTAA